TGGTAATATGCCATGCATGCGAGATAGAAATGATAAAAAAACCAACACCGAAGACATGCAAAAAGGTTCCCGTAATTACATTATGTTGCAGACAGCTCTATACCCTCTCCGAACGCCTGATGAAACATTGCTACCCCGTCTATTTGAAAGACTCGCGGGTGTGCACACGGTCAATATCGAGCGGATTTGCCTCGTAGAGTGCGCGGACCTCGGAGCGGTGCGTCGCGACACGGGAAAGCGTGCGATGCATAGACTGCGCATCCACAGTATGGACCTTGTGAGCAACAACGGGCTCTTCAGCCTCGGTGGTAGAAGATCCTGAGGAGCTCGTACCATCGGTCACATCAGCCGCTGTATGCTCCGGCAACTTGGACTCAACGGTCTCGGCTGTCTCTGGAGCGGGTGTCTCATAACCCTTCAGAAGCCCCTGGACAAAGGCCTCGGACTGAGCAGAGTACTTGCAGTATTTGCGGATTGAGAGTCCCTTCTTATAAAGAATGAAGGGGAATGGAACACAAGCCAGGGCAAGGAAAGCAGGCACCGTTGAGGCCCAGTGAATTCCCAGGTCCTGATACATGTAGGTGGTAAATAAAGGGAAGGCGAAACCGAACAGAGATCTCAACAAGGAGTTCGCGGCCAACACACTCGCGGCGAAGATTGTATAGGCGTCGATTAGGTAGTTGAAAACACTGAGGAAGACCAGAACCATGCCAAAGCCGAATGGAACACCTGCTGCGATACTTGCCATCCAGTGGATTGAAGGATCGTTTGTCCAGGCAAACCAGAAGAGTCCGATGGGAAGTGCAATGGAGGCGATCATGCACGGGGGAAGACGACTCTCCGGGGGTGAATAGCCGCCATTTTTCTCGAGTAGCTTTCCGTAGCGAGTATTTTCGGGAATTGAGTAAATGATAGCACCGAGCATACCCACCATAACGCCAAGGAATGCTAGAGCCGAGACACCTTGGCTCCAACCGCGGTGGATCTCATATACAATGGGGAACGCACCGAAGAGCATATAAAGAGTTCCGTAGATAATCGCAAGGTAGATCGAGAGCAATAGAACGATTGGCTCGCGGAAGAGGAGGATAAAAGGGCGAGAGAGCGAGGTCTTTAGGGCTTCCTTAAGACCTGGTCGGCCCTGATCGATGTCCAACTTGCTGACATACAGTTTTCCAGTCATTTTCGACAGAGTGACTGCTCGCTGGCGCAGCAATACAGGGGCATATGTCTCTGGCTTGAATGCGGCACCGCAAAACCACATCACACCGCAGAGGATGGTGAGCAGACCCATCACCCACTTCCATCCCTCGTTCTCTCCAAGGAAACCACCGACAATGGGGCCAATGACAGGACCTAGGAACGGTGCCAGAGCAAAGGCTGACAAGGCGAGACCACGCTCGCGGGCGGCGAACATATCGGCGATGACACCGCCGGAGTTGGTGAAGGGAGAAGAACCGAAGCAACCAGCCAGGAAACGAAAGACGATAAGGGACTCGATATTTTTGGCTCCTGTACAGGCGGCACAGAAGACTGTCAATCCGCAGTAGGTACCAATGAAGACAACCTGGCGACCGAACATCTCACTCATCGGGGCCCAAATAAGTGGACCGAGCTAAACAGTCGTTAGAGTCAATACTGAGGGCATCGAGCAACATATTCATCAAGTCAGCGATGAGGTACTTACGGCAAAGCCCAACACATAAAGGGAAACACCAAGAGTTGCAATCTCGGTAGTCACTAAGAACTGTTCTTCGATCTGAACAATACCACCAGTGTAGGCTGAGGAAACCAAGGCGACAACAAGGGTTTCAAGGGCAGCGACGACGGTGATAGACCACTTCATACCGGAGGAAAGCTCAAGTGGATTGCGAAAGTCGCGGGGCATCCACTGTACGACATAAGGATCATCTTCAGTACCGGAGCCCGCATACTCATGATCGACGACTTCCTGGGTGACGACGCCGGGCTCGGTGACCAAGCGCCAGAAGGGAATCTTGTTAGGCAGACCTGATGGGCGAGCGCCCTCAACGGAGGTTTCCGTCATGATCAGGATCTGTAGTCGAGAGTATAGTAGTAGTGTTCGATGCCGGCTTGTCGTGCGGTATGTTGTCGCGAAGGACAAGGCTTGCAAATAGTTGAAAACAACAGTTAATCTGACTGAAGCAAATCAATTTGAATCGAGGGATCAGGATGATTTTGTTGCAGGATTATTCAACAGTAGCACGGAGGTGTTTCTGCTTCGGGACATTGATATTTTCGGACCCACTGGGCAGCTGGACAAGAATTTCAAGAGTTCGAGATTGATAGTCTTACCAGAACTCTCTCCCTTGGATGAGAAGGAAATATGGAAGAAAGACAAAGAAAAAAGAAAACGAACTATCGGTAATGTTGAATACTAAGCCTATTCCTGCTCGCTATCCAGCAGATTTTCTCATCTATCCTACTCATCAATACTGAGTCTACGTATACTTCCTTGACCGTCGGGCCGACTCGGTCTCGGAGTGGTCATCGTTGATTGGTCTGTTTCACGACAGCGGGGCCGCGTTGCCGGGGCCGAGTGTTTCTCCCCTCTAAAAGATTAAGAAAAATGAGCAACTTGCCGAGGCTCGTAGAAATGTCTATCGCGATCTCGATCCTGTCATCTCCACTGCTGCTTGTACCTCGGCACTTTTACGAAATTATTAATAGCAGTAATGCCATGCATTCAACATAATTTCTTGCTCTATGCAGGACATACTGGCTAGGGAACAGTGAGCGGAATTTGTTCAGAGCCTTACTATCATCTCTCATATAAAGACAGACCGGTACGATATAGCCTATGTCACAGGTAGTATAAATAAAGCAAATGGAATAAGAAAAGCAGCTATGTTTGTCCATACCTGAGGTCCAGGTTCTATCCGAAAATTAATCTGACATCGGAATTCCCCCGCCGAAAAAGACATTACCCAACTGCTCAGTGGGGCGATGGGCTGATCGATTGGTTGTTCGGGAAATTTATTGCACCGTCTTCTTGATGACTATTCGGTGATTACTAGTAGTATTATTGATCGCCTATCGATCAATATGTATGCACCTATTTTCGACGCGATATCTCTCAACCTGCTCATTCCAGTAAGCCCTTATCATCCGGTACATCACGCCACTCCTATGATTTTATCCCAGACGCCAGGAGGATATGTGACTCGAATCCCATGGCCCCAGATTCCCAAAGTGGCAGAATTTAGTGCCGATTTCAATTTCGGCCCCTGTTTTGGCGACCTTCTGCCTAGCCGAACAGAGCTGAACTACGCGCATAAGTTGTATGGATTGACTCCAGCAAGATTAAGCCAAAGCGAAATTTGGTCGGATTGATGACCCATTCTATCATGCATTTCATTTCATAACAACTTGAAGTTTTCATAAGTCAGGTCCACAGTTCTTTACAGGCTTTTCTCCAACGCGCCAACCTCCGCCATCACCTCCCGCACAGCCTTCTTGGATGGCTCACCCACGGGCTCGTAAGGGTGACGAGGGGCCAACTTCTCCTCAGCACCCTGGATGCCAGCCAGAGGAGCTGTCCATGTTGCGACAGCGAACTTGGTCGACGCGATGCCGCTCTTGATGGGGCTTTCTGCCAGAGCCGCCTTGCCTTGCAGCTTGCGCGCCTCGTCGAATTGGCCCTTTGTGTACAGTGCATACACCTTGGAAGCTGTCTTGGGGAAAACATTGGCAAAAGCAGCGATGCATCCAGCACTACCAGCGGCAAGTCCACCGATGAGGAAGTCGGACTGGCCACCGAATGTTGCGAATTCCTCGGGTGAGAAGGTTGCGGACAGGCGGGTTATCTTACCAACGGAGCCGCAGGTCAGCTTAACACCGACTACATTGGACTGACCGTTTCGCTTAGCGGCTGATTCGCGGGTGATGGCGACGATTGTCTCGGAGTCCATGTCAACCCCGTTGCACACACCTGGGAAGTTGTACAAGACGACGGGCAGTGGGGACTTGGCGGCGACTTCCGAGAAGAATCGCTTCACGACGTTCATATTGGTAGCCTTGCCGAAGTAAGCTGGGGGTAGAACTAGCAGGTAGTTGGCACCAGCATCAGCGGCATCTTGGGCGAGCTCAAGGGTTTGCTTGGTGGAGTGAGCGCCAACACCCGCCATAAGGGGAAAGTCGGGGCCAACGGCAGCGCGTGCAGTGGAGATGAGCTGGGCGCGCTCTTCGCGGGTCAAAAGGAATGCTTCGGAGTTTGTGCCGAGAATTACCAGGCCAGCGAGGCCGGTTGTGGAGAGGTAAGCGAAATATTTAGACTGAGCATCGAGGTCGAGGGAATCCGAGTCGTGGTTGAAAAAGCTGACAGCAGGGCACCAGACGCCCGAAGGAGGAACGTGAGGTTGGGGTGATACAGCAGCGTGAGAGCCCATTGTGAGTATATTTAATAATATAGAGATGGAGGAGATGGAAGAAAGTCAAAGGGAGTAGAGGAGAGTACTCGTAAAGATGACAGAAGTAAATGAGTAGATGGAGAGGAGAAAAAGGGAGGAGATCAGTTCTTTTCAACCATAAATGACCGAATGAGGGGGAGGGGTAAGATGGATCATGAATGATCATGATTCAAATACCTTTCCATCGGATTTCTCTCACTTCTCCGTGTTCTCTTGACGACTTCGGGTCGGCGTCCCGACTGTCGGCGTATGGAACCGAGTAGATCTTCACTCCTCACAGTAGAATTATATGCTCCGTGTGATAAGAACTCTCGGAGCTGATCCGATCGGCCTCTGTTGATTCGCTGTCTCTCCTCATTTCTCCATTACCCCCCTCCACTGCCCCTCTATCCACTTCTATGTGCCCCGCGATAACTTCATGTTGAAAGAGTGGTTCAGTACGGTCACCGTGCCGAATATCGGGCCACCCTCCGATGTACCTGTGTGCCATGAACAAATAAAGAAAAACAGTCATCCATGGTCGCGGGAAACGCGCATAGCCATCTTCTCTCATCTTGCCACGAAAAGAAAATGACCTTGACTTCAGAAGAATCATCCTGGTTTGACCAGGCTCGGTTTATTCCTCCCGATGCCATCTTTGCCCTAACCGCAAAGTATGTGGCCGACTCATTCCCACAGAAGGTCAATCTAGGCCAGGGTACCTATCGTGATGCAAACGGTCAACCATGGGTACTCCCATCGGTCAACAAAGCGCGTGAGCAATTAATGACCAACGGCTTAAACCATGAATATCTGCCCATTCTGGGCCTGGCCGACTTCCGAAATGCGACAGCCAAGCTGGTCTTGGGACCTGAGCTATATTCTCAGAGACAGAGTCAAGTGGCAACCTGCCAAAGCTTGTCTGGCACTGGTTCTCTGCATTTGGCGGGTTTGTTACTGCGCGCCTGTCATGGCCAGCCTAAAGTATACATTCCCTCCCCCACCTGGTCCAACCATCATCAGGTCTTCGGATCACTCGGGTTCCCTTGTGAGAGCTTCAAATACTATGATCCAGAGACACGGGATTTGGACGTGGAATCATACTACTCCATGTTAGATAATGCAGAGCCAAACTCAATCATTATCATCCACGCCTGTGCCCATAACCCAACCGGTTGCGACCCCAGCAAAGAGCAATGGAAGGAGATTGCGAGGCGCATGAAGGAGCGGCGTCTGTTCCCACTCTTCGACTCTGCCTATCTTGGGTTCAACTCGGGGAACCTGGATGAGGATGCCTATCCGATTCGACTGTTCATTGGGGAGATGGGCATGGAAGCCGGTGTGTGTGTCTCATTTGCGAAGAATATGGGTCTTTACGGTAAGTGTCTGCGTCGGATGAGATTGATAATCGCTGACATTCGCTAGGGGAACGAGTCGGATGCTTCCTGCTAGCCACTCACACGGAACAAGCGGCCACCAACACGCAATCCATGCTGGAGATGCTCCAGCGATCCGAAGTGTCCAACCCCCCTGGTTTTGGAGCCAAGATTGCCAGCCAGGTGTTGAGGTCAGAGGAGCTCAAAAGGATGTGGTATACGGATATGATCACCATGAGCGATCGCATCCGATCCATGAGAAAGGCCTTGTATGATCATTTACTCGCACTCGAGACGCCTGGATCCTGGGATCACTTGATCCGGCAGTCAGGGATGTTTGGGTTTCTAGGATTGTCGGCGGAGGTTGTGGTGCAGCTTCGAGGTATGTCCGAGTCGCTGGACATCAAAGTGCCAGTTAGAAAAGATGAGAATGCTAATCCCAGTACTGCAGAGCAATATCATGTTTACATGGCCGATAATTCTCGGGTATCAATTGCGGGTCTCAACGAGGGCAATGTTGAATATGTTGCGAGATCAATTGCGGAAGTTTTGAAGGCGAATTAAAATGAAACCACTTGGTTCAAATTCAATGAAGTGTTACTGAACTCGAACTCAGATTAGTTACTACTAGATACTAACTGCTAATTGGAGCAATCGCCTAAAACATAAAGGATACCTCGTAACTAACGACTCCGCACTCATACAATAAGGAAGTGAGTCACCAATGACTCAACTTGGAACAAGACTAACTTGACTGCTTGTTGTTGAAGAACTCTAGGTTCCTCTGATTACTGGCCGATAGTCTAAGGGCTCAGAGCCTCTGAACTGTCTAGTCCGGCTCTCTACTTCGACCCAGACTCCCTCTACGCGACCCCATTGAGGTGTTGGTGTACTCCGTACAGAGTACTGAGACCCCAGAGTCACCCCAAACCTTGGAATACCATGCTACCCGCAATTTCCTTGCCCGAGAAAAAGATGGATACAGACACTACCAAACTTTGCGAGTGTACCGAGATGCTTCACATTCGTCGCCAAGCGGAAGTGTGCCAAGAACTCTTCCCCAACGAGGATGTGGCCATCCAGCCGCTGCCGTCGGGTGGAATCGCGATCCGAACACGAGCCATTTTCCAGGGCAAGCTCAACCGGGCGGTAGGATGTGGAGATGCCAGAGAAATCAACGAGGAGGAGGTAAGGGGGCTGGAAGAGTTCTTCACCGCTAGCGGACTGACGCCAGAGATTCATCTCGGACCATTTGCCTCGTCGGCAGACTTTACGTTGTTGAAATCGCGAGGGTATGAAGAGAAAGGGAAGCTCACGACTTACTGGTGTGCGTTAGGCCAGCCCGATCCCTCCCCTCCTCCCCATCAAGGGGGTCTCGATGCATGCAAGCCCGAGGCGTCCAAGGTTCTGGTGCGGCGTGTGGAGTCCCACGAGCGGGAGAGATTTGTGGAGGCGTCGATTGCGGGATTTTCATCAAACGGGCGATCGCGCGAGCTGTTGGGGGCATTGGCGGAAATTGCGACACGGCGCACAGACACAAGGCTGTATTTTGCAGAGGTGGATGGGCAGGTGGCGGGGACAGCAGCGTTGGCCAGCATAGCAACGGATAGTGACGGTGTGGGCGTGGCCCATCTGTACTTGGATAGTACTCTGCCGAAATATCGGGGTCAAGGAGTGCAACAGGCGCTGATCCTCGGGCGGTTAGAGGAAGCGCGCAATTGGGGGTTGAGATTGGCAACGTGTATCACCCGGGTGGGGGATGCGAGCGGGCGTAATGCTGGACGGGTGGGGCTGCGCGTGGGTTATACGACGAGTGTGATGGGATTCGGAAAAGGGAGTAGACCCTAGGGTAGGTGGTGGAGTAGTTGGGTGGAGGAGATGGGTGCCTCAAGGCGGAGGAGATCCTTCTCGAGGCTAGGATGGGATGGATGATAGGAGATACAGAGATAAGGTACGATAGAGGCAGATACCAATTTACTAGTATTTGAATTAGTAATTGTTCAATTCAATGAACTAATAAGATGAATGGTAACTATAATAGCTATCATCGAGTCTAATTTGCAATTTATTATAATGTTCATGTTCATGTTCATGTTCATGTTCATGTTCATGCAAATAATAAACTTCTCAGGTGGACGGCCTCCTGGGGCACAGTCACATGATGTAGAATCACGAGATTTTAGTGTATCATGTGACCATATCATGTGATCTTATCACCATCACCAATCACGTGCCTTAACGTGAGATCACCTGATTGGTCAATCCATCCACAACTCCCACCAAATTCCACCAACCACCTCGTCCAACCTTGTCAGCCGGCTTAAGCCTTGTTTTCAGCCCAGGATTATCTCGATTGGCGCCGGGTGGCTGCGAAGCTTGTTCTCATCCTCAACCTTGATCTTGATCTTGATCTTCATTTTCATCAGAGTCTCGAGTTCCTCAACTCAAGCACTCTCTATTCTTCCCATCCATCCACCCCCGCATTCTCTCCACAACCTCAGAGTCACCAAATCTGGAGCAGACCCATCGAACCCCAAGCACTAACTGCACCTGGCATTTCTTTTACATAATAACCCAAACTTTCTTATCGTTTCTCTCTCGGCCTTCTTGCGCGACATTCGTCTACGGTCCTTCCATCGCCCCTCCGACCCCCTTCGGCGGAGTCGCCGGCCTGCATCCGGCCCTGCTGTTGGCCCGCCACCTCTACCAAGTGGAGCAGCGTCGCACTCCACGTGTGGATCGTCTCATCAAACTGCGCCCGGGGCAACCTTTGGGAAGGTCAGCGCCGCTTTGGGTGACCTGAACGACCGACCACTGATGCCCATTCTTATCTCAATGACCCCCCCTGTGGACTGGATCCGAATCCTGATCCTGATTCTGTGCCATCTACTGAGTACATTTATTACTCCTTCCCCCCCCTCTCATCGCCTCTCGTTCCCTGCCTCTCTCCCTCGTCCACTCCCTCCTCACCTCAATCCTCCCAACCGGTTCCCTTCCGGCATCATGGGCTACGAGGATAGCAACATCAACGGTCATGACCCCAAGGTCATCTCCGATTCCGATAATGAGAAGACCGCCTACGCCGCCCCGCCGGCCTTCGACAATGAAATGCTGGGCGAGATGACCGATACGGAGCGTCATGGCATCCAAAGGTTCAACCGCCTAGGCTGGAAACGCCTCACCGTTGTCCTTATCGTTGAAGCCATTGCTCTCGGCAGTTTGTCCATCCCCCAAACCTTTGCCTACCTGGGTATGGTCGCTGGAACAATTTGCTGTGTCGGTCTGGGCCTGGTCGCCATCTACACCTCTTACATTGTGGGTCAGGTCAAAATACTCTTCCCTCAAGTTGCCAACTACTCCGACGCCGGTCGTCTGATGTGGGGACGCTTTGGATATGAGTTGATCAACTTCATGCTCGGTCTCCAGTTGATCTTCCTGACCGGATCGCACTGTCTGACCGGTACCATTGCTTTTATGAATATCACCGAGAGTACTATCTGCTCCGTGATCTTTGCGGTAGTCTCGGCTATCATTCTGTTTCTCTTGGCTGTACCACCCAGTTTTACCGAAGTCGCTATTCTCGGATATATCGATTTCGCTTCAATTGTCATTGCCATCGGCATTACCATTATCGGGACCGGAGTGCAGGCGTCAAACGCACCAGGTGGGCTGGCCGCTGTCAACTGGTCTGCATGGCCCAAAGACAACTTAACCTTCACGGAAGGTTTTATCGCCATCTCAAACATTATCTTTGCCTACAGCTTTGCCATGTGCCAGTTCTCCTTCATGGATGAAATGCATACCCCCAAGGACTTTGTCAAGTCGATTTGGACTCTCGGTATCACAGAAATTGTGATCTATACCCTGACCGGCGCCCTTATCTACGCATTCGTCGGCCAGGACGTATCCAGCCCAGCTCTTACATCGGCAGGAACCACTTTGAGTCGTGTTGCCTATGGTGTTGCCTTACCGGTCATCTTCATCAGTGGATCAATCAATACCGTTGTCTTTGGGCGCTTAGTCCACGGTCGGATATTTGCCAACTCCCCAATCCGATACATCAACACTAAAATGGGATGGATCACTTGGCTGGCTGTCATTGCGGCTGCCACAGTCATCGCCTTCATCATTGCTGAAGTTATCCCCTTCTTCAATGATTTACTGTCAATCTCTTCGGCTCTGTTCATCTCCGGGTTCACCTTCTACTTCCCGGCCCTAATGTGGTTCCTCCTCATCCGGAAAGGTGGAATGTTTGAGCGCAAGAATTTGTTACTGACTGTGGTCAATGGATTCATTTTCGTTCTCGGAATGGTGATTCTAGTGGCTGGTACCTATTCGAGTATCGACGACATTGTATGTTCAGCCCTCAAGATCCTCCTTGTTCCTCGCAGATATCTAACAAGCTCTCAACAGATTAACAAATACAATACTGGCTCCGTCCGCGGTGTATTCACCTGTGCCAAGCCGTCATAAGCGATACTATGCACCTTTTCACATATGCTCCGGATTAGCGTGCATTGAGACCAACGTTGGATATCATGCAGACTGCATGGCATGACCTTAGGACACTAGTCACGTGGCTAATGTATTTGTACATAACAACATATCTCATATATTCCGAGATATCCATCTTGATCTACGGCTCCAAAATTTCTTATCAAAGCTGTAGTCTCTCGGCAGGGGATCTCTAGCACTCACTGACCAAGATAAATATTCATGACGTCCTTTTCGTGATTCAATCAACTTATTCAAGTTTCGCCCAATGGGATCGATTCGTATCACGTCGCCTCCCCGCGCGGAACCATTACTATTCACAGATTGAACAAATCCATTACGAAAACCTTTCATTTACTTGCAAGGTTGCATGCAATTGTTATACCGCCGCCTCGGCAACTGAATACCTACACAACTACTCCGTACTTAGTATTTGCCCCTGAAGTGGATACAACAGAGCAGACTCCACTTATTCTTCCACCAGGCCAGAGCGTCAGAGCGCTCTCTAAGACAGCAATACTTGGCACCAATTCCGAATTTGAGTTGTCAGAGATCATGATAGATAATCACAAGCCTGGGGGATTCGCAGATCGTAAAGAAAGAATCCATGACCTCCTCTGCATGTAGAGTTTGAGCCTGAGGTTCGATTAAGAAAGGGCCGGCCGCCCTCCGGCTGCTGCCGTATTGAAGTCCCACACATTCCGAGGTTAACATGAGGAACCCCACGGTATCGCGGGAGCTAATCTAATTATATTATGTGGATAGAGTAATAATATACATGCGATTATATCATAGCTCCAGAATAGCCTAGCCCTTTGGTAATCACTGCCTCTGTAGGCATGTTTCTGCTGCGATTGATGCCATTTACGCAGTATTCGAGAATGCATCACTCGCCTTAGTATACCTATACCTAGGTAAGTTGAAATAGACACTAAGCTCCAGCTGGAATAAAAGACGGCAGCGGGAAAATACTCAAAGGAACAGATGTCACTGATTATAATATACAAGGCAATTGTGAGGAAGAGAAAGAAGTGAGACCACAAGTGTATGTGTTGCTATGTAGATTCAAGACGGATCTTGAGCACGCAGAATTGCATCGTATTGCATACGGCTCGAATTTCGGGGGAGGAGAACGAAATCCACTAAACCTTTCAAGTCATCACTCCGGAAATCCAGAACCGAAACCTGTTTTTAATTTGAGAACCACTTGAGAGCACGACTCTGATTGGCCTTGACTCGGACTGGGAGAGACATGTGGATCCTCTCGACCTCAGGGTCTGCCCCAAGGTGCTTTCTTCAGTGATCGCGCCCGAGACATAGGATCGATTTAGAGTACGGGGCAGGTCCACGATTTTACCGAAGTTATTAGAATTTCCCCGATAGTTAGAAAATCGACATGCCGTTTACGGGGGAGCCGGTGGCAATATACAACTCAATTAATGAAGAATTCCGAGTCTGTATATGACGTTCCAATGATTCTTTTGTTGTGGTCGATATAGTAAGAACTGAGATACTCGCGATAATTTCACTGTGATTTGGATCAATATAATATTCTTGAGAATGCCTACATCACATCCTTGAAATGATATTTTACCATTGCTGGCGGCTACTCCGGATGGAGGACCCTTTCGCCTCCGGCTAATTATAGCCATGGAGATTTACCCTAGGGTAAGAGGCGAAGCACGACGGCCCCACTCCCCGGTCCATATCCCATACTATGGACATTTTCTTGTTAGATCAACGTCCAAATTTGAGACATATGCCTCGGCATGATTCAGAGTACCTGTATATGGGTTGTCTTTCTGCGAGGTAATCCCGATGCCTGGCGAGGTCGTAGAGTATAAAGCCATGGCTTTTTTTCCGAGCTGGACTTGATAATTACTTAGAATACATCCAGCTTACTATCAAACACTCCTCCGTCTTTCCTCGATTACTCTCTTCCTCTTCAAACAATCAACATACCAAAGCATTTCACCATGCAGCTCAAGAACATCGTCATTGCCACCGGTCTCGCGGCCACTGCTACTGCCACTCCCACCGCTCAGTCTAGCACTTTCGGCGTAGTTGCTATTCACTCCGGCTCTGGTGTCCAGTACTCTGCCTTCAACGCCGCTAAGAGCAGCATCTTTGCCGGTCTGTCCACCCAGAAGGCCAGCTGTGCTCGTCCCAAGGAGCAGGATGCTACCTTCTACATCAACGATGGAGCCCTTTACCTTTACGACAAGTCCGCAACTCCTCAAGAGATCTACGTCGATCGATCAGGCATGGGTAAGCGAGCAAAAAGACGGATCAATTTCAGAACATACAATACTAATTCTTGTACTTTCAATAGGCCAGGGAAAGATCGGATACACCACTGGCGCTCAACCTGCCCCCAAGAACTCCGAGCGTAAGGGATGGGCTCTCAAGGACGGCCACCTGCAATTCGCTGGCAATGATCTGATTGCCTGCCCCAACAGCATTGACGGCGCCTGGTCTATCTGGGCCTCTGCCGGAGTCTCTAACCCGGGCGGCAACAAGGACTGCATCGGCATCGCTGCGCGCATTGAGAAGACCTCCAACCCCAATGGCTGCGTTTACACCCAGTAAATGAAGCCGAATGAGCTCTGACATACTGTCTGCGCTGGTCAGATAGGACATGGAGATGTTAAAATTAGCGAGCACTTGAATACAATTTGAGCAATATGCATTTTCATTACTATGTTTCAATTAAAATTCCAAGCAACGTCGGCCCGGTAAAACGAAATTAATTTACCCAAAGGTCTCTTGCTGACCACGAATCTGAATTTCGTCATGGATTCGTAGTGGGAAGATTCCCACTGCCAATAATATCCCCATCTTCCTCTCGGCCTAGCTTTGCTCGATTGATACGTTGTGCAGATGTTTTGAATAGCCTGGGAATTTTTGTCTCCTCGAATGAAACTCCACGTGAAACCATACTGGCTAGCTCCTGGGCTGCTAGCCAGATAACAGGCATGCCGTGACCGTTAAATCCGGCGATGATGAACTGACCCTCCTTGGAAGGCACCTGGCCGATGTGAGGGTTTGAATCGTAAGAGTATCCCATGACGCCGGTCCAGATAGTATCCACCTTGGCACCCGTATCTTCCCAGCCGCGATAGGTGCGCTGCATGTAGTTGTAATAATATTCCGCGGCTGCATCAATCAGACAGCTGTCATCCACATTGTCATACCATTGCTCTCTGAATGGCTTGAACTTTGCAGCGGCGCCCCCAACAACAATGCTTCCATCTGACCGCGGAACCAGGTATGAGAGAGTATGGTCAATGGTTCGATTGATGTAAGAATTATTTAGCAATGGCGGCCGAATGCCATCCGGAACAGCAATTCGGCAGCATATACCCTTGCAAGGAATAATATTCTTTGCATATTCTGGAAGAGTCCCCGCGACATAAGCATTGTTGGCGTAGATGACTTTGCGAGTGTGTACCTGTCCACGGGGAGTATCAACAAAGAAACCCCCAGCCTCGTCAGACCGAACCGATTGTACTGGAGTATGTGTTTGCAGATTAACAGACTTTGACTCCAACAACTTGTGTAACAAGTGCATGACAAGTTTGAAAGGCCATAGGGTCCCGGCAGAGAAAGAGGCGCATGCGACTGCACCCTTCACACCACAGATCTAAGGGCGAAAATGATTAGTTCAGAAGCCCACGGCGCTTATTCCAAGGGTTGCTGGAAGCCGTCATGATACCTCGGTATACCTAGATATACCTAGATATGTATGACTCTCAGGCTCTCTCACTCACCCCTTCCGCCTTATCTCCAGTATAAAAAATGACATCATCCATGTAATCAAACTTATGCGCCCGCATGCTGTCGTAGATTGCCTTTGCATTTTCTGCCGCCTGCTTGTTGCACCAGACATCAATCGACCTCGTCAAAGTCAAATCGCAGTCTATGTTCTCTTCCTCGATAAATTTCTTCAAGGCACGGAGATTGGCAATTTCGAACTCCGCAATCTCTGCCCCAGCCCTTGGACCAGATCGCTCGATATATTTTGGGATATGCCCATAAAAGTCTGGCCGGAGATGCCCTCCATTCCTTCCGGTTGCCCCTGAACATGCAGCTCGGGCCTCAAGAATCGTGATCGAGGGCAAGGGTCGGGGGGTGGTTCCCAGTTCCCCCTTGAACTCCTTGACTAAATGATGTGCTGTACTTATTCCGGCGAAACCGGCACCAATAATGACAATGTCGGTCTCGAGCGGTAGCTCTGATGTGGAACGATGGTCGCTGAGAGGGTGGGTTTCAGTTTGCCAAAAAGATTCGAGCGGGTTTGCGACCGGGTAACATGTCGAATTTGGGCTGATTGTGGTCGTTTGATCGGTACAGGAGATTGGCATAATGACGAATTGTTGAGAATCGATGGAAAGACGAAGGTAAAAAAGGATAGTCGACCTTGGTGGGCGTCATTTCGACTTTGTTTCTTCATCTCACCGACTTCTCTCAGCAACCGCAAGTTGAGACTTCCCGAGTGGCACGACACCCCCTTTCCATCACCGCCAGACTCGGCCTTGAATCACCATCTTTTTCATTCGCTTTATACTATCGTGGAAGGTTCAGAAGCGGTTGGTGTTATTCCAGGTTCTCAAATGGGAGATTTCGACCAACATTGGCTTCCTCGTCATTGAGGGCCATCCGGGTGAGGCTGGAAGACACAAACAAAATTGATTACCACCTGGGCAGAGTTCAATCTCTGAATTCAAAATGAGGACCTTGGTGATGATCGGTTAAGGGTTTACCGGTCGGCTTTAAATGACGTTCCTATTTTCAAGTTGACTCCAATCAGTGGTGGGTGGTGTGGGTGGTGGGACTGGCGGTTCTCGCGCTATTTGATGACACACTGAAACGAGCTACTCGAAGCAAAAATACAGATGCGGAAGATTGAAAAAAAGCAAAAAAAAAGCAAAAACGGCACATACAAAAGCCGCATGAATTTTGTTGTTATGCTTTTGACTTGGTATGACACGCCCATCATGGAATCTGTTCAGGTCAACTCCAAGTTATCTACTTTGCCTGCGGAGAACGCAATTAACAGCGACCATGGAGAATGCACGATCTTTCGTTACGGCGAAAAGGAAAATCGCGGGGATATCGAAATGGCCAGTGCCCAACTCGAAGAGATTCAAATTTTCAAACAAGGACTTCATCAACGACATATTCAGATGATTGCCTTAGCAGGGACAATTGGTACTGGTCTTTTTCTCAGTTCTGGTCAGGCAATTGCAGCGGCTGGACCATTGGGCGCTTTCATGGCGTATTCGATCGTCGGCCTCAGTGTTTCCAGCGTCATTTTCGCCGTGGGTGAAATGGGTGCGCTCGTTCCACTCAATGGGGGTGTGATCCGATATGCAGAACTATTTTGTGATCCGGCTTTAGCATTTGCTAATGGGTGGAATCAAATATATTCCTATCTCGTCTCCATCCCAGCTGAGCTTGTCGCCGCTGCAGTGATTGTGGAGTTCTGGGCAACGGTGAACAATGCCATCTGGATTACCATCTTCGGTCTATTGATGGTTATGACTGCTCTTGTTTTTGTTCGAGTTTATGGAGAGTTAGAGTTCTGCTTCTCTATACTTAAAATTATGTTGATTGTTGCGATCAATATAATGGCATTGGTGGTTACTTGTGGTGGTGGTCCGAACCATACTGCTATTGGATTCAGCTACTGGGTTAAACCAGGCCCAATGGTCCAATATCTCGGTGTACCTGGCTCGCTAGGTCGTTTTCTTGGCTTCTGGAAAACCTTCGACAACGCTCTCTACGCTTATTCAGGGATTGAGAATATCACTGTGGCCGCCGCCGAGACAAAAAATCCCCGCACAGCTATTCCAATGGCAGCGAGGCGAATATTCTTCCGAATTCTTATCTTTTACGTTCTGACGATTTTCATGGTTGGATTGGTTGTACCCTCTGACGACCCGAGCCTTTTGAACTCTACCAACACCGCCTCACAGTCCCCATTTGTCATTGCAGCTCGCAATGCAGGAATAAAAGTGTTCCCATCGGTCATCAATGCAGTTGTCTTAACTTCCGCATGGTCGTCTGGAAATTCCAACATGCTTGGTGGGTCTCGGATTCTGTTCGGAATGGCTGTTCATGGCCATGCGCCCGCAATATTCAAACGGACGAGTCGTTTTGGGATACCTTACGTGGCAGTTATGTTATATGGGCTTTTCATGGGACTAGGCTATATGACTCTTTCGAGCTCTGCTAGTAACGTATTTTCCTGGATGCAGAGTATTGTCTCGATATCCACGCTTGTCAACTTTATATGCATTTGCATAGTCTATCTGCGCTTCGTATACGGTTGTCAAAAGCAGGGGATTGATCGGCACCAGGAACTGCCATGGGCAGCACCTTTTCAACCATTCACCACCTGGGTATCTTTATTGATATTTGTTCTTCTTCTCTTCACTGGTGGGTTTACCACCTTCATGAAGGGGAGATGGAGTACAGAAACCTTCATCTCCTCCTACATCAATTTGCCTCTTTTTGTTATGGTATATGCTGGCTACAAGCTGTTCATGAAAACCAAAATTCTCCCTTTGGAGGATATTCCAATTCGACCATTCATTGAAAGTGCGAGAAACAGCCCAGAGCCACCAGTCAAAAGGAAGCGAGGACTAGCGAGGCTCAACATTTTGTGGTCTTAGTAACAACAAAACAATCTTAATATTATTGAATATAGATACTAGGAGATTTCGTTTCCATATTCTTCTTCATTTATGCCTCATTTCAAATATCGACATCGCCAGTCTAAACCAGCAGGGGTGATGTGCGGGTATAGTGGCAGTTATCATACAAGAGAAGGGATTGTAGATGGTTACCTACCCTAGCGTGTTGGAAATGTGGATCCATCGCTTGTCGGGCTACCCTGTGGATCCGTTGGGCAGCGACAAGGAGGGGTATCATTGTAATGTCCAAATTTCAATGCATGAAATGGAATGAGGAGATGTCCCTGGGTGATAAGATAAGATGCTACCGTTTCAGTCATGGAATACCATCATGATGGGATGGTACATACCACACCGAGCGATCAATTGGATCCCAAAAATGAATATGATTCGCCTAGCCGCTCTGGAAAGGTCTGGACCGACATACGGAGTAGTACAGTAGCCTTGTGAATTATTCATCTTGTCCTTCGACAGTGCGGGGCTAGCCAAGGCCAGCCAAGCCGGTTTGTACCCCTCCTTCCGAAGTTAATTCCTTTGTTTTTTCGTGCAGGAGATTTAACTCAAGAGGGTACATAGTACTCTGTACGGAGTATTCTCCGTAGTGTTGCCGGAATATACCCGATCATGAGTTTGCAACGTGCTGTTCCCTTGGCATGCCTCTTGACTCAAGTTCGCTCGATGATTGAGTGACTCGAGCTCTGATGTCGAGATCGAACTCTAAGATATTGTCACAATCGAATCATAAGACTGGCAGCAGGTAGCCGCAGAAAAACCCATCTATGGATGTTCGATGGACTTTTCTTTACCGATGTCAAGATCTTTGTTGTCACATAGATGGATATGTCATTGGCACTGGCAGTGAGAGTTGAGCTCTGTTGGGAGGTAGTTATACCGTACCCAGGAGTGCTCGAGAATGATCTGTCTAGAGGGAAAGTACGTGCTATTAGTATAGAAGTTATCCCCAGCGTACATAAGTACTACTATTGTCCCTTGAGAAGAGAAATCAAAGGAGATTTTATCTCGGGTTGGCACACCACTGAGAAACCGAATTGGATCGGTCGTGGTTGATCTCACTAGTTACGGGGAGCAAAGAGATTGTAATTTCTTTCCGACTCGACCTCATGCAAGAGACAGGGGGCCATGTAGACGTGTGGGGGCCAAGAATTCTGCCCAAACAATTTCCCAACTGTCAAACACTCCTTGGCTCTGCACCCCCTTAAATCCTTCAGCCCCCGCCACCACACCAGATCGCCCTCAACTCGATCCACAGAACTTGAGCATCTGAGTAATTTATATCCCGAGAAAGGTGCAATGGGGGGCACACCTTGGCAATCTAAAGGCTGTCGGACATGCAAGAAAAGACGTGTCAAGGTGGGCTACTCCGATCCGATCGTTGTTGAGAAGACGCTAACAGCCAGCAAAAGTGTGACGAGCAAAAACCAGAATGTTTGCGCTGCATTAAGTATGGTATAAAATGCCCTGGTTATGAGAAAGATCAGAAGTTTGTGATTTATTCCGCAGCTGTGAGATCGCAAGAAATGATCCAGCGAGTCGCACTCCCATCTGTTAACCAGGGGCGATCCGTCCTACCACCGGGCATAACTTCGGGCCCTTCCAGACGTGAACAGATCTTCTCATCATATTTCAATGTATTCTTCCCAGTTCAGGCGGATGCGAGGTCCAGTGTGGACCTCTGGTACTATCTTGCGTCCAATTTCTCCGCGATTCCCAGGAAAAGCGAGATGTTGGAAAAGTCACTGGCCGCATTGGCTTGTGCCTGGCTGGGGAAACGGAATAAAGATGCGGGTCTACTCAAATATGGTGTTCAACTTTACAATTCCGCCATTAAGAAAATGGGGAGCATGATTACCCGAGACATTTATTCTGATGACATCATTTATTGCACCGTTCTCTTTCAGGAAATCGAGGTGAGCAGATTTGCCCCCAATGCTTCAAATTCTCTGATCCATACTAGTAGTATTTGGTCTAACTTATCTTCCAGACATATTACTGTCCAACTGATCTCCATGCATGGATCGCCCACATCGTGGGGACCAACGCGATTCTTAACCATTACCGCCACCGGCTAGGCCAAAGCCCCCCTGGTTCACACGATATATCATGAATACCAGAAGCAGCGCTTGGTACGCCGGCATTTCACTTCAAAATCGTTGGAAGGAGATATAGAGGCCCCTCAGCTAATACTAGTAACTTCTAGGTAATGTCCGCCCAAGGAATTAACATTAACCAAGAAGAATTCGACTATATCACCCAGCCAAGTGAAGGCAACCCAAATGTGGAGCTCCTTCGTCTTTACGCTAATTTCGCCCCAATATCCAATGCAGTGAGAATGGCTAGGCCCCCAAACCACAGAATATGTCGCATGCTGCTCCGTAAATGCCTTGCACATCGGGAGAAGGTGACAGCATGGTATGCCAGCAATGTCAGGCGGGGTCCAGAAGAATGCGCCTTAGGAGAGGTTTTGACCACACGAATTCCTCCGACAGACAATCTATTTGGTACCGCCTACCGATTCCACTCTCTTGACAGTGGAAAAATCCATATCATGTATTGGACGTTGCTCAGTATCATGCATGTGGTGATATCTCGTGCCCGGAACCTTGTTCGCGTCTACTATATAGATCCATTCACGCCAGATATTGATGATCAGTTTGGCGATCAAGATTATCTGATCTCAAGCTACTGGGGCGATCAGATCGCCCGAGCAATGCCTTACCATGCACAGGACGACATGAAAGCATGGGGTATGCACTCGGCAACATTTTCTCTTTGTCAGGCCTGCAAGTCTGCGGCCGTAGATTCCGGCAACCGGAAAAAGTTCGACTGGTGTCAGAGCGTTTTTAGTGCATTTGGAGAGGCCGGGTTTGAATCTTGCTTCCGCCTTTGCGAGGTATTCACGGGATTGTGGATGATGCACCAGGCTCGCCAAGCGGGTATTACAGTGACTTCGCCTTCGGGTGAGCTACAAGCTGGCACTCCAGAGTCAGTGCGGAAACAACATCAAGTCGTGGGCGGGGTTTCAGCAGTGCCAAATCTCTTAGATCAGGTGGTACAGCGGGATGCCAACCCATAGAAAAGCTCGGTTTTTTTCGGCACGAAAACAGCCAGCGTCTCTTGCGTGCGATACATTTGATTTCCTTACCTTTGTAAACGATTTGATGATCTCTGGCGAATAGAATACAATGTCAACGTTCGAAGAATGATGGTTCCTTAAACAACCTTGGAATTGTATGTTTACTACTGCTCGAAGTTTCAGCGCTTCGCAGGGGTAAAGGCTCTAGCTGCTATATGAAACGTAAGCTTATCACCATAATTTCCCAGAAACTGGCTTGTATTCTAGTTTCCTGCTTCTATATTACTACTACTACTACTACTACTACTACTACTACTACTACTACTACTACTACTACTACTACTAGTAGTAGTAGTCTAGAGTGTGACCAGCAGCCAGTGCTTGAAGGCCTTTCGATCACTCTTTAGTTAAGGGCGTACTTCATACAATAATTGAAAATCATTATTATCCAGGTGATCTGGGATGATAATAACGTTCAGGTTGTCATTTCAATTCGATATTGTGCACAATTACCAGCTCTATCTACGTCCTAGGATAGTATTGATTTGTTTCTCAAACCCCATAAGAGCCCAATGGCTACTGGAATTGACAATGAATGCAATCCATGCAAGGCATGTTTTATAAGTATCATAATTGAGTAGAAAAATGATTTTCTAGAGTGGTGCTTTTATGGTTCATCGTGTTGATCGGCTCTTCCGACTCTCAATTTTATAGGCACTAGAAGTATCAAGTTTCAATTCTTCCGATGTGTAGGCCACCCGTGACAGCAATATCGGTCCCAGTACTCCGTAATATAAGCAGATGCATCACCCAGGGAATAAATGACTGCTCCATTTCAATCGTTGAAATTTCCAAAATGAGCCAAGAGGGGGTGCGGTGTCCATTATTGCGGAGTCTTCAGCGCTTTTGCGATCACAGACCACTCGGGTCTGTTCCGAGTCGATAAATCCAGGAGAGATTGAGTTGACTCGAATACAGTGTGGAGCCACGAACTGCCTCGGTCAACATTCTCACAGCTCCATCTCTTAAATCCCTGAGTATGAATATTGAGAATTTCCAATAACCGTCCAACAATTTGATAAATCAAGTCATCTACCCCGGTGGTCGGTTTGGTGTAGAATGCAGGTACCGGGGGGAAAATGATTGCGCCGACTCTTCTCAGAGCTAACATTTTATCCAGATGGATCTCACTTAACGGGGTTTCTCGAACCACCATCATCAATTTCCTCCCTTCCTTCAGGGAAAAATCTGCCACCCGAGAAATCAGATCATCGCAAAACCCTACACGAACTGCTTCCAGAGTTTTCATGCCGCATGGGATAATTATCATGCCGTCGTGGAGAAATGGACCACTGGAAATAGGAGCAGCAAGATCTCGGGCCGCATAGCTGAATGTTACAACATCACGGAATTTGGTGTCTTTGAAATCTATTTAAGAGCGACGGAGGCCCACTCAGACATGACTAAATGTGTTTCGATATTCAATTCCCGTAGTCGCTCAAGGAGGCGCACGGCAAATATGGTTCCAGTTGCGCCTGTAACGCTAACCACAATACTCTGCGGGCGATGGACGTAGGACTGTGAAGAATGCCACCGTGTTCCGTTCATAGAGGATGTGTTATTTATTTTGACCTGACTGCTTGGGTCTAATGACCGTGACGGCAGTGGGCAGAGATGGAGGTAATAGGTGGCACTCCTATTATGCATGGGGTTGATCCTGGAGAGATTCGTGATGAATAGAGTGCTGCACAACACTTCAAATCATTGATTCTTGAAGTTTGTAGCCATTGAGGAGGAATATTCAAAAGTCCGAAACTATGTCTAGCTAGGCTCCACGTGGAGTCCATAACAATAATCGGTCGGAATAGCTGACTATAATAATTCAGATCAACAGCAAAGCAGAGAGATGGGGAAATAGAACGGGAAAAAAGGATGATCCTGTTTATCTTTCTATTCGAGGTGAATCGTATACCCAAGCAAGCATTTAGAGCATCAAAATTGGGAATAGCCTCACCTCTTGGAGGGCAATAAAGGCTTTAGCAGGCACCACCTGGCGAAGGTCGTACCAAGGGTTAAGACTTTCGAATCCTACGACAGAGTTCCGATTATTTCTCAATACACTGAGAGAAAAAGGTAATCTGGTAGATATCCATCACGAAGCCAATCCTCGCCTAGAGATAGAAGGGATTGCTCGCCTTGTAAGTGAACGAAATGCCAAAGTCCCCTTGTTCCATAATGTTAATGGCGCACGACAAGGTCTTTAGAAAATGACTTCAAACGTTCAAATTTTGCGTCAAGACCCAGAATCTCATTGTGAGCGTATTGCAATTGGACTTGGATCACCAGCCAACGCCTCAAGGAAAGAAATGAACGACAAGCTATTGAATGCAAAATCCTCCAAGATCACGGCATCACATACCCGGGAAATGGACCATGAAAGGAAAACCAGCTATTTGGAGACGATATTGATTTGACTCAACTTCCAGCTCCATTGCTCCACCAGAACGACGGGGGCAAGTACGTACAAACCTATGGGATGCATATTTTGCAGTCGCCGGATGGATCATGGACCAACTGGTCGATTGCCCGAGCAATGGTGAACGACAAAAAGAAGCTTGTCGGCCTTTGTATTCAACCTCAACATATTTGGCAAATTCGAGAAACGTGGAAGGAAGGCAAGGATGCTCCGTGGCACTCGCTCTGGGCGTGCCACCGGCGGCCATCATCGCAGCTGGTCTGCCTATTCCAGACGGAGTGTCAGAATGTGATTATGTTAGTGCGAGATGAACAATATGCTTGTCCCAGCGACCAGTGAGATTGTTTTCGAAGGGACATTTTCAACTATCGAGACAGCACCCGAAGGCCCATTTGGAGAGTACTTCGGCCATTTATTCAACACAGCACCGCGCCACATTCCAGTGTATAATGTGGATGCAATTACTTATCGTGATGGTGACATAATGCCTGTATTCGTCCCCGGAAAGCTCACAGATGAATCGATAAGTAGAATATTCGAAAAAGTTTGAAACCGACTCGGAGTCCTAATCAGACTAGCATGTAACTGCCGACATGATGGCACCTGAAATTCTAGCACTCTGCATCGAAAATGACTTCCCCATCTTGGACGCATTCTCTCCATTGGAGACATATACAAGCTGGATCATTCTCAAAGTTGATTCCGAAAAGCTCAAATCACTGGGAACTACATCGAAGGAGCTATTTGCAAAGATCGAAAAAGTCGTATTCAATGACAAAAGATCCTTTCTTGCATCTCGCCTAGTCCTGATAGGAGGTGATATGGGCATTTGCCACTCGTTGTCGCCCTGTTCAAGATGAACATGTATCTGAAGATTTTTCTGGCCTTCCGCTAGTTCCATTCATGTCCAATACGCCCCGACCTTGCCGTTGAAAGAAAAAGGTATCTGGTCGTCTTCTTGAAGCCGAATATTCGTCAACAGGTCGAAACTGGGAGATTGTTGAATTCAACAGCGCATACCCAGAAGATATACAGAGGAAGATCATAATGCGATGCGAGGAAATGGGACTGAGTTCAATGACCGTGAAATAACAGAGATGAATTATTTCAAGCTAGCCTAGGAGTTCCCACAATATCATGACTAGCTATCAGTTTTTGCTATATACCCTTGGTGAATCATTAGTTACTATGAAGGATATTCTCAATCACCCAACAGATTTACAGAGAAAAATCATACTAGTAGTTTCGTTGAATAACAGGGATTTTAATTTTACTTTTTCGTGATATTCTGCCTCAATCATCTTGAAAGAGATTGGTAGTTCAGATTATTTGAAGATACAGGGATTTTCACAAGGTGCCAGATAGACTCACGGGCATAATGTGAGATCAATGATTCCAGATCATGGTTGACCAGATCAGGGTTTTGAAAGGACGGATTCCATCCGCTGACGGTATAAAGAAATACAAAACCTATCGTACGCCAAGCCTCATATAAATGCCCAAGAACAATGGTTGGAGGTGTTGCAGCCCACTCGCATAGTCCCCTTTCCAAGCCGGTTTCTTGGGTCAAATTGCGTTGCTCCGATTCCAATAAAAGGCGATCGTAACGTGCCACATTAGCGAGAATGAAGAGAAGCTCAGTGCAGGAGCCGTACATCGGATGATGCCAATTTCCCATTTTATGCACTGCGATGGATATCTCAATGGTGTCCAACTGCTGTTGTTCATCTGGGTGAACGAGAAATGCAGTAGACATATCCCAGTAGAGGTATATTCCCAAACACAGGAATGAATGGCAGTCATTGTTCGAGAATGCCGACGTATCTTTGACAAGATTTCGAATCAATTTCTTGGCGGCAAACAAGTGTTGCTGACCAAAGTCAGTCATGTCAGAATCGGCTCCATAGGCAAGTCCGAGTAACAGCGTAGTCAAGAGTGCTGCCCGTATTGAGGGTCGAAAGTTGCCGAATTCCTGCCTAAGGGTGACCAAGGCCTTCCCACGTTCTTCAAGAGAGATGACCAGCGATTAGTCTGAATATCATCATATCAATATTAGGCATATTTCACATTTTTTACTCGTATCCTTATCGTATCAGGATGCCCTCAGGAGATTGTCCTAACAGTAAAGCTATCAAATGTATACCTAAGTATATTACACGGAGCAGTGCACACTAGCTAGAGGACTAAATAGGACGGAGGGTCGTGAAAAGCCTGGGGAATAAATAAAGTAGGCTGTATAGACCGACAATAGGCCTAATAATACCGACACATCCCCTCAGACCACATAGTACACTAGGCTAGCCGCAATCAGTGGACCCAAGAGACAAATGATGATCTTCTTCATCAGGCGTTTCATTCCCCGTACAAGGGATAACTGAATCTTTTCATCCAGCCATTTCTTCTCATTGAGATGAGGAAAGGACTTATCGGGTACTGGCCTTCCCAGGAACTTACACAGTGGCTCCCATCCATCTGAAAGGTTGTATTCTAGGAGCCTGTCCTTGGGAGTCATTTTCCGAACGAGATCGTAGTGTTCTCTGTATTTTGCCTTGCTTTTATGACGGGCATCTTCAGGGTTGCAGATCCCCAGCCAGCCCTGGAAGGTAGTCTTGTGGATTCTCCCAAGGGGATGGGTGAAAAAGCGATCGACGTGATATATGATCGTGACAAACGGGTCGTACGTGTTCTTGATCACGCTATTCATCCAGCTCTCGTACCAGGAGTCAATGTCTCTCTCGACAAGAACGACCTTTGCCTCCGGATATGCTTCAATCAGGTCATCGGCGAATGCAATAGCCGGCGTGTCGGATGATACAGCTCCGTAGTCATGCAGCAGCTGGTCGAACTCCGCGCGACCGAATTTCGGCCCTGCTCCAAAGAACTTCCGATCTACTGCTTCTTGCCACATCTCGATATCACCAAACCGTGTAGACATGAACTGAGTAGAATGCCAACATGATAGGCCAAGGGTCTCGAGTGCGCTGCACATTGCTAAGCCGCCCAGGCTTCAGTCAGTACGATATCTGGCGGTGCAGGCTTCACGAGTTGTGATAAGGTAGATGAGCATACATGCTGTACCTGTCCGATTAAAACCCAAGCAGAGACATTCCATTGGCACTGTTCGTTGCCTCCCGCGAGGAGACTTGTTCTTCACAGGGCGAAACAACTCCGGATGACGTTCTTCTAGTGTTGCCATACTTGAAGAAATCTGACAAAGGATTAGTAGACGCGCCTTGCCCCTGATTAGGTTGACGTCGAAACCAGCCTTAAGAGGAAGAGCAAGTCTTAGATGACTCTGGTAGGGCGATTTATGCGGGAAACTTAACCATTTGCAAAATTAGTGGGAATAAGGTAAGAGGTAACAAAAGATGTTGATGATGGTGGTGATGGAAGTGAGGGAGGTAAGCTTTGTCCCGCAATGAACTTCGACCACTAAGCTAAGATGCCTGAGGCATGAACCAAATTCAACTCCACCCAATCCAACATTCCCAATAACGAAAACTTGACACTGTGGCAATCTGACTTTAATTGTGCTACGTGTGATACATGAAAATTTCGGAATCCCAGTCTGTATCGCCATAAGCGATGCGTTTGACCGGAGGTAATTTAACCTGCTTTGAGTAGCGACTACCATGGATGCGTGTTTACCCAACTTTCCCCGAAAATCAGTATCCTGGATCAAATTGAAGTTTGGCGGCTTTTATTCTAGTGCTTACATGCAAAGTTCGCACGGCAGTCTGACACTTAAGTGAACAAGGCTACTAATAGTGAAAGCTTGGATGCAGGTATTGGTAACGATCACTGTGTTCCCATCACCTACAAATCCATCAGCTCTCATACAGTCTTAGGGTAGTGTATAGTGCATGTTTAGTTTGATTGAGGTATTGAATGGATTACCACAGGAAATGGACTGAGCCTGAGACAAAAGAGAGGAAGGCAATTATGAAAGAGCTAAATAAAGTAGTCACCTTGTTCAGGAATCGATGTCTAAGTACAGAAAGTGCCATCCGCCACTCCCAAGATATTTTTGATAGTGCTCTCATCACAACTATCGTACATGAGCTGGTGTCTAGACACGTGACGTATCAGGTGACTCAGGCAACAGCGGCCAGGTTCGTCACATCTCGCTTCATTCGCTACCTTGTACTCCTTAGATCCAATAAGCTAGGAGGGATTCAAGGCACGGTTCCTTCAACATAATCAACCAACCTCACGGCCAGGACGCTTGCTGATTCCAGAGTTATAGTCTGGTACATTGAACCCATGTGTCAAGTTGGGCCCACCAAGCTCTTTTCGGCTATTCCTTTGAAGCATAAACTGCGCTCTGAGATTAAGGTTTATACCTACTTATACAATTTATATTGCCTCAAAAAAGCTCTCCGGTTACTCTAGTCTCAGTTCACCTGATCGTAAATCAGGATAGTTCGCGTAGTCCATTTATCAAGATCGCAAGGCTCCAGTCATTTTGGCTGCGTCTTGTCTCGAGATATCACCCAGCGGCGTCGACACAGGCTCTACCAGACTGAACAGCTTTCCAATTTATACTTTTGGCGCCAGCTGTTCCACAGTAAATTTCGTCTCGCAGCTATAATCGAGAAACTACAGAAGAATTCACGTGGGAGCTGGAAGAAAAGCACTCTGGCGTTACCTTGCCAAGGAATGTATGAAAAGAGCTACAGGCTAGGTATTCAACATCGTTGGTTTTCTTGAGAATACGAGTGCGAAATAGCTATCGAGAAATATTCTTTCGAGCCTTATTTGGAAGACATTGAACGTCGAAAAGAAAGAGTAAACTGGCCATCGCCAATATCGCCACAAATGGAATTAGCTTGCGTTCTTTCCATTCCTTGACCCACCCAGTCTAACGTATCTTGGCAATCCGCACGAATCCTCTCGGTAAACGTTCAACGGAAGCAAGCGACCACAAAATCCAGAGGATCTGACAGTCATAATAGTCCCCGGAGTTCTGGATTTCTCCATCAAGAGCGTGGTGGAGTCCCGCCGCGGAATTCCGCTGTGCCGGGCAAGCGAACACCCGACCGGGCATTACTGCGCTCGGTAACTAAGCCTTGTTCAGCGACTTAGTTCGGAGGTATCAGACGGGCCGGTGAGACAGAAAGTGGATTGATTCGCCGTCCACTTGTCCAGTACTGGGGTGACAGTTTCCCGAGGTGGCACCCTTACTTTCGATCCGCGGGAATGAGAATAATTTGGCCACAGTTCTCACAGCCTTTCCCTAATCCACTTTGGCGGGTCTGGGGGCCCGGATCCTGGACTAGCTTAGATGCCCTTGGAATGGCTTTCCTTATTGTCGGAATGACTTGGTAACTCCAGGTACTTTCGCATGGTGTCATACCATGGCGGCCACTTTCCGAGCGATCAGGGTTGACACTTTGTCCGAGGACAAACGCTCATGAACCAGCTTTCTTATTGCCTTGGATCCTGCTCTCATGAGGACTGCAGTGAAGTAAGCAACCTTTGCCCTGGATACGCATGTCCATCAATATTAATTCAAGGCATTTCCATCCTGTGTCGTTCAAATTGGCTGGCAAGTACCATTACTCAAAATTTAGTCCTGCACACATCATACTGGGGAGAGTTTCATGATAGGCAGCGCGGTCAGGTACCGGAACTTGTGGTCGGACTTTTTGTCATCCCGGCTATCTTACTCAAAATGGGCAAGAGTCGACCTGTAATTGTGGGGTATTGGGTTGTGGGGTGAGTACTTACAATCATTGCCCATTCAAAAGAACGTGGTCTCCCCGGTTTTGCCATAACGATGATGCACATTTTGCATGATAAATTCCTTTTATCCTAGAATTTCAGCAAATACTCAAGACACAATGAGGCGGAGCTCTGTCACTGGCCTCGCCGAGGTTACTAGCACTCCTACTGGGTTGCATGGCTTGATACAAAATAAGAAATGCTTAGGATTTGCCTTATTTGCTTCTCTCGGTGGTGTCCTCTACGGTTACAACCAGGTATGTCACATGATGGGTTTTCTCATTCTGAAGTCGTGCGTTTACCAACACTATCTTTCGTCCAGGGTGTGTTCGGCCAAGTCCAAGTTATGGCTGATTTCGAACATCGCTTTTCAGCTACGGTCAGTTACCAAGCCCATAGGAACTCACATTTGGCAATTAATTTGATGTTAGCTTAACAATTCTTCTACCAAAGGACTTCTCACAGGAATCTTAGTTACCTCAATTGAGAAACACCACATTGTGATCAGACACCTGACAGCATATGTATTTAGAACTTGGTGCTATGGTCGGAGCTTTGAGTAGCAGTCCGCTTGCAGACAAATACTCGAGGAAGGCGAGTCACCGCTTAACAAAATATTCATACGCCGCCTCTAATTCATAATAGCTGTCAATTTCAGCCTGGTGTATCGTCTTCATGCTGGGAGTTGCCCTCCAGGTTGGCGCGACCGACGACGTCGCTTTCATTTACTGCAAGTGGCAACTACTATCATCAGGGTCCACCGAGAGACTGACTTTTTTTCAGCCGGTCGTTGGTTTGCGGGTATGGGTGTCGGGGGTCTTTCCGTCGTTGTGCCCATGTTCAACGCTGAGCTCGCCCCGGCCTCGATCAGAGGTACTCTTGTTGGTTTACAGCAAGTAGCAATTTGTTGTACGTGATTTCCAAGATCATCATATCCAGAGTTACCGCTGACATTTAAAAAGTCGGCATAATGATATCATATTGGATCGGTTACGGCACAAATTATGTCGGTGGAACTACCTACCCACAGCAATCTAGTGCGGCTTGGAGAATCCAACTCGCAATCCAGCTTGTGCCTGCCATTATTCTTTGTATTGGCTCGTGGTTTCTCCCGTACTCACCTCGATGGCTTATGCTGGTCGGCAAAGAAGAGGAAAGTCTTGTCGTTCTGGCGCGGCTTCGGAATCAAGCCACAAGCTCTCCTGAAGTTCAGTATGAATACCGGTCACTCAAAGTTGAAGCCTATGTAAATCGTGAAACTTCTCGAATGCGCTACGGAAATGAAGAGAAGACTTGGCGTACTGAGTTGCTCGAATATAAACGGATCTTTACAACAAAAGTACTGCTACATCGGGTTGGCCTAGGCGCTGGCGTTCAAGCCTTTGGTCAATGGTCAGGTGAGTCAGAAATTTCTATAACTAACATGGAATTGTGTCACCCCCTAGCTAACTTGAACAGGGATTAATGCAATCATTTACTATGCTCCAACCGTGTTCGCTCAGGTTGGTCTTTCGGGCGGAAGCATTGGATTACTTGCTACTGGAGTAGTGGGTATCCTGATGTTCGTCTTTACGATTCCCGGTACGCTTTTAGTAGATAAAGTCGGTCGCAAACCAATGCTTGCTTGGAGCTTGGTCAATATGGGCATAGCCCACGCCATTGTTGCCGCCCTTATTGCTACTTATGGGGGTAACTTCGCAGAGCACAAAAGCGCCGGCGACGCGGCCATCTTCTTCATTTACTGGATTGTGGTCAACTATGCCATGCCTTACGGGCCAGTGGGCTGGATCGTTACTGCGGAGTCGTCATCACTTGATATACGCGCCAAAGGAGTCGCTATTGGATCTGCAGTGAACTGGATTATGAATTTCGCTGTCGCACAAGTTACGCCTGTGATGATCGCAAACATTGGCTACAAGACATTCATTGTTTTCTTGTGTTTCTGTGTTCTCGGCGTGGTCTGGGTTTATTTTATTTTGCCGGAACTAAAAGGTTTATCGCTGGAAGAGATTGATGCCGTTTTCGCAGACGAGGTTAGCGCTGAGGATCGACTTCGTCGCGAACGCATAGCTGATGAGCTTGGGCTTCATAACATGGCGAATGTTGCTGCGGATGGTGTGATCGTAGATGATTGGAGAGGCTCGTCTTCAAAACAAGATGTCGAGATGGTGGAAAAATAGATAATGGAAAGATAGGTGTTCCCGGAATGCAAGAATTATTTCTCGTAGATGACATGAATAGATATCGAATGCGAAGATTACATCGAAAGCGGGACAAATATCTCAACGTGATGAAAATGGATAAAAGTCTCAAGCGCGTGCAGGTATATACACAGGAAAATTGAAAGAGAATCAAAAATACCCAGTATCTTACTTCCAGGGGCTGGTGGATGGTTTGAGATTATCAGCATGGTACGGTAAACTTGCATACCATGCCAGTCGATTGCCAATCAGAAGACTAGAACCACCAATAGCAAACACATTCTTGACTCAACAGTGTCTTCCACCCTTGCCCTTACCAAGAAATTCTTTTTTCTAATAAATACCCTTTGGCTGCCCAACTTTGGTTCCGTACATTCAGAGGTAATGATTCGTCTTTAGCATGGTGCGGCCCATCATAGAAAGTTTTAATAGCAACCCCCGCATCTGAGCACATGACCTCGTCGATGGCAAAAGTCAAGTAACCAGACTCGGGGATCTAATCATTTCCATGATTTCCTTTGGAGTTCATTGTCCCATTCTATGATAGTGTGACTACAAGAGCTTACCATGTTCAATCCTTGTTGAATGCCACTCATCCACGAGATCCGAACATTAGAGGCTAAGGGATTTGCGGCGTTGAAATCAAGTCAGGACCGGCTAGGCACAGATATGAGTATACCGAGGCACGCCATGATATTTTGTTTCCTAATTCAGATGATTCAGTTCAGCATCCGCAGGCGCACAACGTTACCTGCTTCATGGCCAGTCTAAGTGATATTCCCGCCGGATTTGTTAACGGCATTGAAACAAGTTCTCTTTCGGTGAAGATCATTGTTGGAGCTTTACTCGTCATTGCTCTTTACAATGCACTTGAACTCATTATTCTCATTTTCCTGAATTTCAAACAATATCGCGGGCTCTATTTCTGGTCATTACTAGTATCAAGTGTTTTTGGTGTTGTTCCCACTACAATTGGCGCTTCGCTTTATTTTTACTTGATCGATCCTCTCTGGCTAGCTCTGACAATCTCGCACATTGGATTTTACGCGATGGTGCCGATTCAGTCACTAGTCCTATATTCTCGACTGTATCTAGTCCTGCATGACGAGAAACGTCTTCGTTATGTCCTTTATCTCATTGTCGCCGACACAATCGCCCTTCTTCCTTCTCCTTCGATCACGATGTTCGGTTCGGCATATTTCCAAAACCATCAGTGGAATAAAGCTTATCAAATAACAGAACGTCTTCAAGTGACTGGATTTTGCGTCCAAGGATTTTTGATCTCTTCCCTTTACATTATGGAAGCCATCAAACTCTTACAGGTCAGTCTCGAGATATCGACCCGAGGAAAAAATGTCATGTATCAGCTCGTGGCAAACAACGTCGTTATCATAACCATGGACGTTGATCTATTAGTGTTGGAATATTTGGGCTTGTATTATTTACAGGTCTCACTCAAGTCGATAGTTTATAGCGTCAGTGTTGAAGCTCGAATTTGCTGTCTTGGGAAAACTCATTATGATCACAAGCCAACATGGGCTGGTAATTGAGAGCAGCGACCCAAGGGCAGTTCTAGAGTTTATTTGCCAAAATTATGCTGCGTCTGATTTCACTCACGCTCCTGCAAATAAGCCGAGACTACAACATAGCGATGGAAATAATGGGGTGACGGACGTCCGGTCGACTACTTGCTCTAAATGTCGCCAAGGTTTGCCACCAGTATCTCGCAAAGGGTGAAATTTTCGAACTTTGTTTGGACTTTGTTTGAATGACCTCGTACTCCAAGCGGTTTACCGTTGAATTTCGGGTAGTGTCTTTTTTCAAAGAAAAATGTCACTGGAGCTCGTCCATGTATCAAAAAAGGACATTACATTTTTGACTGAACCCCCAGATAATATCACACTGACAATTTGGCTTATGGAAAATTATTTCCGGGGCACGCTATCCTTACCCCACTTTCTATCTCTCTTCCCTCTCTTCCCATGATTTGAATTCTGACAATTACAGTGCTCCGTATCTTCTCCTCTCCACATTTCTTTCACCGAACTGGATTGTCCAGAGCCTCAGATCGATGGGGCCTCATTTTGAAATTGGCAAGGATATATAGGTACACTGTACCTTCCAATTACCTCTCGAAAAGGGGGCCTCCAGAGATGTGCAATGGCTGGGCTTTAGCCACCACCCATACTCTCCTCTGGAATATCCCGACCGATACAATTTTAATCTAAATGTCTCTTAATTTACTGATATTTTTAAGCTTAGGGACTCCTAGAATTACGATAACTAGCACCAGTCTATCTATATCGTATTCTAGAACTAAAGTATATGGGCACTCGTGACTGGCTTGGAGCTACTACTGGCGCTAGACCTAACTCCAGACTAGTATAGCAAGACTTGATAGATATCTTTATCAAATTAATATTGCTAAGACAGATCAATATATATATAGACGGGACAAGTAAGAGAGACTGTAGAATACTTTCTCTTTTAATATCAGAAGTAGACCGTACACCAGACAAGAATACTGTAATATATCTACACTTACCGAGGGAATATATCCTTCTTTCAAAGCGGAAAGTCACTGTTAAATGATCAGAACTAGATGCCGAATCTAGAAGCAGTGCGAGCCTTAATACGGTTTGCAATCTTTTCGGGCTAACTGGACGCCACTTAGTCATGTCGACCAAAACAGATCAACCCTACCCTCTCCTAATCCCAATCTCAACCCTACTAACTACCTTGTGCCAAAGACGGTGGACGCGCTTCATGCTACAAAATGGCCCTGTCCGCGCGCGACAACGCTTGGGGCTGCAACTGGCGGTCCTCGACATGGTTCATTCTTAGTGCGATGGCAATAGCCCTTTTGACTGGTGATCACATCCCGAGTATACGATCAGATTACTGGCACTCTTGGACTAACATCTCTGTGTACTATTGAGTTAGATACCTTTCTCGATAGCTTTATCGTTCCTATCCTTCCCTTCATGATTGAAGATCGATTGGGCTTAGATGCATCCGTTACCCAGAGCGCCAGCTCCCAGCTGTTGGCTGTCACTGCGGCGATCAATGTCTTCGTACGTATTCCCATGGCACATTTTGCGGATAAGTCTTCCTCCAAGCGGAGCTGGTTATTGTGGGCGCTGGCAATTTCTTTTGTCAATACTTTGTTGACAGCTTTTGGGAATTCCCGTATGTCCTCACCCAGATTCCTGCTTTAAGGTCGCTTCGAACAGCTAATAGTCTGGACTAGTTTTCTGTCTATTCGGGACCCGAATCGTGCAGGCCATCGCTAGTAGCATTATGTGGATAGTGGGAACCACAACAGTAGCAAATAATGTTCCAATCCAACACATAGGAAAGGCCTATGCTATGGTCTCGATTGCTACCTCTGTGGGCTTCTCTCTTGGTCCGATGTTGTCCGGAATGTTACTTCAAGCGGTTGGTTACTGGGCGGCTTGCTCTAGCGCGTTTTGCATTTTAAGCATCGACGTTGTCTTCCGTCTGCTAATGGTGGAGAAACCCGATCAGAAGGAAACCGGTCTGTGGAGTCCCGCCGCTTGGAAGGCTGATCTTTGCCGGAATAGATGCAATTTGCATTCGCTAACATGATACCAGACCGCACAGAGGAAATCGATCTGGACTCTGATTCTGAGGGAGCCCCGTTTCTTACCAGCGAACAAGATGAACCAGCTTTGACCGCAGAAAAACACTCAGCCCCGAGCTTTTACCGATCTATTTTCCGCAAACCAAATTTCATTGGTGGCATATATAGCAGTTTTGTGTCCGGGGTACTGATTACATCCTTCAATGCCACGCTTCCCCTGCATGTTCGTGAAGCCTTTCACTGGGGCGGCATGCCGGGCGAGCTTATGGTCATTTTCCGGCCAGCCATGGCTAACTGCAACCTCACGTACAATTTGCGGGTCTGGCCGTGGTTAGCAAAGTGTTGACCCCAAATGCGGATTTGGTGCAACCTACTCAGACTGATCAGATTAGCAGCGGCCTCTATGCTACTGGTATAATTATGGAGCCAATGATAGGCATCGTTTATCGGGGATGGTTTGCCCTTGGAACCAACTCGATGAAATTTCTCCAGTGTACGTTACATGGCCGTAGACGACTGTGCAAAATTATCTGTTAATACTGTAAGTTAAAAACCCATTAGTTTTTATTGCCATGATTACAACTTCCTAGCAATGAAACAATACTGCGCCGCCTCGTCAGAATCGACATTTTCTGGCGGCAGAAAAATCTCCATCTTTTCATCCAAGATATCAAGACCGTTTGCATTCAAGAGATGCTTCCAACCAACGCGAGAAAAAAGAATACACTCTATAAGATCGCCCATAAACCGCCGTTCCACCCTTGCACTGTGACCATCCTCATCGTACTGTTTGACCTTGGCGGGGTTGTAATCATCCGCGGCGAGGACGACCATGCATAAGAGACCTCCTCTTTTGAGCCATTTTGCCCAGTTCCCAACGCACATTTCAATGATATTCCGCTTATTGCGGAAGAGAGCACGAACGTTGAAGACCGCATCCAGGGTCCCTTCTCCGCCGGAACGTTCATAGGTGCACATATCTGCGACTTGAAATTTGCCACTGGGTACGTTTTCCCGAATAAAGTCGATCATCGTGGGCGATTTGTCAAGGCCTTCTATCTGATGGCCAGCAGCTGCTAGACGCACAGCCACGGGCTTACCAGTTCCGCAGCCGACATCTAAGATATATGATTGCGGGGCCAAGTAACGCAGAGCTCGATCGATAAACGCGAACACCACCGGGTCATTTGCGTAGGCATCTTGATATAAATGAGCGGTTGAGTGGAAGTCATCGTCGGCTAGATATTTCATTTTTCTTTCTCTTCGAGGACAAGGCTTCTGGTAGGAGATAACTGGTTCGTCTTGATTCCTGCTTTTGATGCCTTAGCTCCTGAGGGATAATAGGGTGTTGATAGCAAAAGACCAACAAAGAAACAGGAAAGAATAGAGGTAATGTATATAAAGAATTCAAAGACATATATTCATTTGCAGAATTTCAGTAAAATTATTGATGTATGCAATACGTCCAATACAACTCACCTTTATATACATATAATCTCGGTAGCCAGACAGTGACGTGTTGTGTATGAGACCTATCCAGTTACATAAATTGTTCTATTAAATAACATGACGCAACATAATGCAGCCAAGCTAGTTGCGAATAGCTATTCGGGCTCTTAGGCATTAGCAAGCATACATGTTACAATGATGAACTGAACAGTGACTTACATATTTACTGAGAGTCGCAAGAGCCACAAGTAATTCCGAATGCCACATACCTTAACAGGTGGGGAAGTTAAGTTGCGGTGAGCCACTTTGGCAGTGATATACACGATCTATGCATACATTAACTGACCCCACTAACCTGGCCATTTCTTCCTGTGCTAATGCATTACAAGCGACAGGGCACAAATTGACAGAGGACACCGTGCTGTGTCTTCCATAGAATACAGGATCCATGCCGATCAGTTGCGGTGGCGCATCAACGGACGATGCAATAACGCAACTTTGAAGTATCTTGCACAAGTACATCATGTGCACCAGAATCTGAGATGGCGCACCTGATACGTATGCAGCCAGCAAACACAGGTCGCCCAACTATTATCCAAGGGGCGCTATAATTGAAATAAAAATCTTTCCCTTTAAATTTGGGATATCGCAGGCAAACTGATCACCGCTATTGAGCTCCTCTCCACAAACGGGATCACCATGAGTGCTTGTCAAGACCACCACCTGGGCATGGCCGTATATCGGGCGCCGTCGCTCCTTCAACCGCATCGCGTTCGCCAGGCACTGCGCGATGCTCAAGCAGGACTGATCCCCCCTCTGGCCGGCCTGAAACTCGGGTTTAGCACGGTTGAAATCGCTAGGTTCACCGCACCTCTTGGGTTCGACGCGATCTGCATCGATTGGGAACACTCTGCGTGCAATGTCGAAACGATGACGACGGTGTGTATCCAATTGCATAATCAACCATCCCGCGGTCAGCATTAATCGCCCACTGATCTGTTTCGCTCTAGATGGTCCATGAGATCGCCTTCATGAGTGAAGGGCGGACAATCCCATTCGTCCGGTACTCAGCATCCTACGAACCCCGCGTCTACTCTGTGCCTCACATGCTAATAAGTTGGCAGCATCCCCGGCCATGACCATGCCACGATTGGGTTCGCGCTGGATACCGGGGCTAGCATTGTTGTGCCGCAGGTGAATACGGTTTCTGAAGCCAAGTCCATTATGGCCAGTACGAAGTACGGCCCGAAATACGGTGGCACACGTTCGGCTCCCCCTTATCGTTTGATGCAGGGGATTACAGATACTCCGATCGATCGATCCAAAAGCGTCCATGAAAACCAAAATGAGCAAGCGGCTGTCGTGATCCAAATCGAGACCCTGGAGGGATTGAGCAACCTGGATGCCATCTTGTCCGAGGTCCCCGAGATTGACGCTGTATGGCTTGGAACCATCGACTGCCGAGTCTCGATGGGACTCCGCTGGGAGTCTGGGGTGTCCCTGACCGAGCCTGAGTGGAAGGAGACAGTGGCAAAATTCAAGACCATCATGAAGAAACATAACAAACCGGCTGCAGGGTTTGCAGTGGGCCCTCCTGACAAGATGCGGGCGACGGGGGAAGGCAAAGGGTTGGCGTTTGTTGCTGTCGACGTGGTGGCTTTGCTGGGCGTGGTAGATGAGTTGAAAAAGGCTCGCCAAATCTTTTCCCTTGGGTAACCGTTCCTGGAAATGAACGAAGCCAAACTATGCACGCAAGCGCCCTGGGAATATACCTCGACGGTGATTCAAGTAACATATGGCACTTCGTACAAATAAAAAGAAACTCCCATTTCCCAGCAAGAAAGTCAGTCCTATTTTCTCCGCGGGTAATGCCGAGGCCCTCTTTCGACGTATCAACCATAAACCCATACGATGACGACCACGTAAATCACCCCGTGCTCCTGGAATTTGTCGACCGAAATTTGAAACCTCATACCTGGCGTGGAGACCACATGATGCAGGGTGCTGCAAGGCAAAAGCAGCCGAATATGCCACCCTGGTCACTCTTAGTTCGAGGGTGGAGGCATTTCAGTCGCGTATTGCAATCCAACTTGCAGCATATGGGCTCCATGAAATCGAGTCCCCGGATGCGATATCAGTTTTGCCTATCCGTCCTCTCCAAGCATAGCATGAGGTACGACAGGAAGAAGCTTTAATGAAGTGATAATGGGCTGTACCTTTCATAGCTGGCTGGGTAGTATGAACGACCTATGACTATTTGGACGAAAATGGGAGTCTACTGGTAGTCAAGTCTTGTGTCATAGCGGTCATTTTGTGAATAAACAAGTGCATTGAATACGCGATACTAAGTCTGCGGAGATGGAAGAAGGAAGAAGAGGTGTAAGATAATGGTGAGGCTCGCAGATAGGCTGCGAGGCCACGCTATTCCCAAAAGGAAACAGAGTCTGATCTTGATCATTACATCTTGTCTAGATAATGAGCTTCGAGGACAAGGGCATATCAATATGACCTAATCTCCCTGTTTATCCGTGATATCGCAATGGATTTAGGGGACCAATACTCTCAACGAGTCAACGAATAAGATCGAGGTATTCTGAGCCTTGTTTCTCGAATCTGACGTGGCTTGCATATGAAAAGAAAGAAAGTCTGATTCTATGACTGGGATGGAAGTGCATCCGCAGCCGACGTTTTGAGTGATATGTCCCGAGGTCCTAGGCCTGGTATTGTGACTCTGCATCGGTGGCTTTTGGATGTTTCCCGGACGACTGTATCCAGAGCTGTGGCCACATACGTTACGGCCGCCCTATTCGCCACTGTTGTATGTCAGTACAATTGCTTCTTCCATGCATATCAAATCGAGAGCTTACATGCTGCAATGGATAGGCGGCCTGAATGTCTTACGTAGATGTGATATCGTGTTTTCAACAAGTCTATCTGCTCTAAGGTCAAGTTTGTGCAGGTGAACATGCCAACCTATAACGTGACGATCGATTAGCCGTCGTCACCACTTCAGGAAAGGCTGCTCACCTGCTTTTCGATGTAGTCCCATTCTCCGGGAGTCCCAAGTCGGGTGAGCTCTTCCACCAGGGCCTTCCTTATTGTCATCACCCGTTTGTGAATCATCCCAACCTCTCTTTGCCATTCACCGCGAAGCTCTGGGTTCGACATAATCTCGGATGCGACATTCGCCCCAAATGCTGGAGGGGAGCTGATCCCATCCCTTTGAAGACGGGATAGCTGACTTTGCGCGCGTGCTGCGGCGTCCGTGGAGCCTGTAACCAGATGAAGAGCCCCGAGACGCTCACCATATAGAAACATAGACTTGGAAAAGGTTTGCGCGACACAGAGCTCGTGGCCACCATGAACAAAGTGCCGAATAGCCCAGGCATCGTCATCGAAAGACCCGGATGCAAAGCCTTGACTATCATGTGCTTTACGTTAGCTCTCTTCCCCTCCATCACACAAAAGGCGGGAGTGCAGACACATACTAAGCCATGTCAAAAAAAGGAAATATATTTCGGGCGGAACAAAAATTTGCTATGGCTTCCCATTGTTCTCTGGAGGGATCTATCCCCGTTGGATTATGTGCGCAAGCGTGGAGCAGAAGAATATCATCCGGCTCCGACTCCTGCTCTAGAACGCCTATCATCCCTTGAAAGTCAAGACAATTATTCGTTGCGTCGTGATACGGGTAAAACCGGAGCTCGAGAGCCTCCTGGCCCCGAGAGCCAAAGTCGCTAGCTCGCTGCCATAATCTAGAATGCCCCTCCCACGTCTGATGTGGGATCCAGACCCGCCGGGGCCGAAGATTTCGTGCGAGGAAAAGTGTGCCCAGATGGTTGGCCCCCGTGCCTCCAACCGTTTGAAATGAGGTTAGTCTAGGGCCTATTCCCGAAAGACAGCTCTGGACCAATTGCTCGCTAAAGACCAGATTCTGGGCTTGCCGGATGAAAGATGCATGACCTTGCGTGGGCAAGTAGCCGTGCCTTTCCCAAATATGCGGTCCAAGTTGTTTCGTGGCCTGAATTCTGCATCAATCAAAGCGCATTATAATCATTTCCACGGGAGTACTTTGTACTGGATATGAGTCTGACCTTTTCCACAACATCCATTTTCGCAATTTTGCCCTCCTCATCCCAAAACATACCGCCTGCAAGGCTGATCTTCTTTGGGGATTTATCGGCAGCAAACTCCGAAAGCATCTGCCGGAATGAGTCCGGCTCGGCGTGGTGGACGGTGTCAAAGCGAGACGGCCCCATTGTAAAGCTGGCCTTGTGTTCTAGGGAACGTATACCTGTGGCATTGGGTACGAAGGGCTGGTTGAGAACCTGGTAGAACTTTTAATGTCGTCCTTACGAATGACATAATCTTTTCTAACTCACAATACCTTGTTTCCAGGTGGTCAAGTCATAGAGCAGACTAGAACGAATGGCGGTGAATGCCGCATCGTATGTATGTTCGTGCTGGAAGTAGGTAGACCCCAAACCTTGTAATGGTCTCTCGTGCCTTGACGTGAACCTTGTGTAACGTGCTTATAGACGGGATGGAGGGAGGAAAATGAAAGAAAGAAGAGGCAGAAAAGCGAGGCAAGCCTGATTGCTGCAGACACAGAACTCATCCCGGCCGGCACATTGAGTGTATGAGTATTCATTCATATCGGTGCCTGCCATTGTTTGGACCAGACCTTTTTTTTTGTCCGCCTCGAAAAATATGCGTTGCGCGGGGATACGGCCGTTCAGCTAGACTGAAAGTGTAGGATACCACTTCTACAGTGGGGGTCTGCTTGACCGAGTCTGATGCTCCTAGGGCACGGACTCGACATATACAGATAGACACTTGAGTCCGTGCGGCGCAGTATACGGTGGACACGTCAGCATCATAGCAAAGGCCATCTCGTGTAATACGGATACAAACTAGGAATATGACCGCATCTTTTCGAGAAAGCATGTACAGTCTGGATTTCTGGGTGCTACTCATGCCTGCTGGCCAGTCAAGTGAGTTGAGCACACGGTCCTGTGGGGCATTAGGTTCTCTCATGTACTATCTCTTCCCAGCGAAGGCTACATTTGATTCTCCAGGGATGTTGAGTGTATGTAGCAAAGAGCGGGAAAGAAGCCAAGGGATTATCATAACTCCATTTTTACATAATGGAAACTCCCGGCTATGGCTTTGGTGTTTACCCATGCTTTTCAGAGCTGAATGAATATAAAACTTGGCTCGGACGTCTCCCGCAGCAGCCTGCTTGTTTGCCCACAGCCACGACGGGCGTCTCAACACAACTACCCACATGGGGGACTAGTAGGTACAACGATGGGAGACTACACCGAAGATTTGCCCCAATGGATGCCCCCAGCTTTACCTCGAGCCCTTCCTTTGGGCAAAGGGAATATCTTCCCGCTGGGTGAAGCACACGTAAGTATCGCATATGTATATGATGCAAGAAGCTCGGGACTGAGGGTCGGCCACATCAGGCAGTCAGCGTCTCTTTGCCAACTTGGGATTCGGTAATTGGTTTGTCCAGAAAGGAGAAGTGGGTCATGGACTATTTAGAATGGAGCTATCCACGGTAGGTCAAGCACTTCCCTTGGTCGAAGCCTAACCCAAGGGACCTAGAGCTTTGGGGCCCAAAGCCCAGCGGTGAAGAACCCTTATATATGGGCAGTATTTAGACCCACCCCCCAAAGCCCTCCTTTTTCCTGACCCCAAAGCCCGGAATTTCCTTCGTACGATTTATTTGAAATTTTCAGAAGTTCTAAGTATGTATAAGATCTATACCCAGTTTTCTTCTTAGACACTACAGTCTACTGTAGTAGTCGTACAGGTCAACCCTAAATCATCGAAAACCTTAAATATTTTTGGTTGGGGTGCGACCGGGAGGATCTACTTTGGGGTTTTGGACCCACTTCAGAAACTCCATGAAAAGGTACTTTTTGATATACAACCCCTAAATAGATACTATTACTTCATATATTATGTTCTAGTACTTTTTTATTACTTCTACTTTTTGAGTATTAACTATTTGTATTTAGAAGAGAATTGTGGTTAAAAGAGAATCGTGGTTAAAAGAGAATTATAGTAAAAAGAGAATCTAACCTAAGGGACCTAGAGCAGTGGGCCTCACTACTTAGTAGTAAGAGTTTCTTAAGTATAGACAGAATTCGCCCTACTAGGGGAGGTCGAAAGTCCTTCAATGAAATCTGGGATGGAAAGATAATGATTCAGTGCCCGAGTACTACATAGTACATGAGTCTGACAGCACGGGCCATTTATGCCAAGACAACCTTGGAATTAGTGCAGCAGTGTGAAGGTATTAAGCATGTACAACAGAGTATATTTTCTGCACTCCGCTAGTGAAAATTCTCGCGGGTCTTGGCAAACTGAAGATCTTACTCTTCATGGATGTAGCCACACTTGTGGAGACCTGGTGCTGAACTCCTTCGTACGGTATCCCTAATGTCGATCCTCAAGACTCGGATAAGGCTCTGACATGGCTTGGCTCCGAAGAACTACCGGCCTCTTAACGAGCTTGTGGATGCCTATCTCTACCACTGGAATTTCCCTAGAAAAGACGATCAGGCGTCCCATTGTTCGGAATTGTATATTCACCCCCTATACTCTGCATGAAAACAATGCAGCAACTGGCTACTACTAGTTATAATACCTACTCACAATCAGATGCTAGTACAACGTTTCACCTACTCCTTCACACCGATACAGTAGTATGTATTTCTCTGGAACATAGTCCCACACTCCTTGCCATCATCACCCAGAACTGTGTTCCACTGATACAGTTGCTTGGGGGTAATTTTGTGATCCTTAGCGAAGTCAATGCAGTTATCGCCGTCCTTTGCCTTGGCATAGTCGTTGCAGTTGTCTGCAATACTGTTCGTCTGGGTGGGGGATGGGGCGGATCCACTTGTTGATGTGGCACTGGCACTGGCAGTTGCCGTTGTACTTGTGGGCTCGCTGCTGGTATCCGTACTTGTATCTTTATCGGTGGTGGTGGAGACCTGAGAGGTCGATGTGCTGGTCGGGGCCGGGCTAGATGTCGACGAAGAAGTTGAAGTCGAGGTTGAAGTCGTAAGCGGCGTCGAAGGCGCTGCAGTACTAGGCACAGCCCCCGAAGAGGATGCGTTCCCCTTGGTTCCGGCCATACAATACCTATACTTCTTGCTGAAACTGCAACCGCTAGACTTCGATTTCTGCTTACTCAAAGACGGGTTCCACCTGAGCAAGTCTGCTTGGGAGACTTCCCAGAAGGAAGCGGCTACTTGGCAGTTGCTGACACCCGTATAATTGTATTGGAGGTTGTTCCCATCGACGAGAGTATTGCAATTCTTCACGGTATTTGGAGCGATTGGGAGCGGGTCAGGGTTGTGGATGGGCGTGTAGGTTGCGTCGGGAAGCTTGTCCCAGGGGATCTTGGAGACAGGAGGCATGTAGCCTGGAGCACCGGGGTAGTTGTCCATATCCTTGACGGGCTTGACACAGTAGCTGCTGCCAGCTATGAAGTTTGTGCAGCTAGTCATGTTAGTTAGGCTTTGGGGTGTAGGCAGTGTGGAAGAGTTCAAACTTACTTCTGGTTCAGGCCGGGATTCAGGATGAGGAAGTTGGCACGCTTGATTAGGAACTTCTGGGTGATCGTGTCACAGCTCTCCTTCTCCTTAGGAGTGTAATACTCGCCACAGTTCTTGGTGCTGTTTTTTGCGAGGTTAGTCGGGACAGGAACAGCCGATGAAGCTGTGGGAGGCCCCGTGGCAGAAGCAGCAGAAGATGGAGCTTCGTATTTTTCTCCAGGCTCATTCATGCAGATTTCGGTGTCGATGGTGCGGTTAAAGTTATAGCAACCGCCATCAATCCAAGGGTTGTAAGAGCGCAACTGAACAGGAGTAATATCGTGTGCCTTCGCGACGCTCTTACAAGTATCTCCCTTCTGGACTGTGTAGGTAGTGCAATGGTTCTTGATACACAGGTCACCAGATTTCGGGAAGTCCACGCAGTAGGCCTTGAGTTGGTTGTCCATGAGAAGTTGGAAGGTAGCGACGCTCTGGGACTTGGAAATCGATTCGCAGGTGTCTCCATCCTTGATAGCGTACTTCTTGCCACTGCAGGTGCTGGCCGTTGGAGTAGCTGTTACAGACGAAGTGGGTGTTCCGGAAGACGATTTGCTGGACCTACGGAGCATTAGTATTCAATGAATCAATTTGTCGAAGACTCAGACTTTACTTACGAATGATGAGGAAGAGACACCGTCGGCTTGGCAGTCACCGGATATCCCCTGAATTTGCAGGAAGATGTATAACTTGGGTACGCGCTCGAGTAAACATTAGGTCCGCTGCCATAAGGATACTGGGCCTCGCTGCGAAGCTTCATCAAGAGACACTTGTTGCAGTCGTCACCGCCATTCTTGGTGAGGTTACCCAGAACGATGTTGCAGTAATTGCCGTCGTTCTTGAAGCAGGTCTGCTGGAAGTTGAACTGAAGAACATCTGCAGTCTCAGAAATAGGTAACTCTGTACCCCATTCGTTGGTGTAAGTCACACCGGAGCATCCGGCAGCCACGGACTTTTTGTATTCTTGCAGCTCATCGCGACAGTCGCTGGTGCAAATCTTGTTTAGACCATGCTCCGAGTAAAAGTTGTTGGAGTTTAGACTGCGGACGGCGTCGATACAAGAAGTTAAATTGGTAGTGAGTGCGTTTGCACACTCATCTTTGTAGTCACCAACATATTCATCAGGAAAAGGTTGAAAACAGACAATGAGTGTAAAAAGAGAGAAAAAAAGAGTGTACCGCGCAAGCGAATTAACGAAAGACATGGTCGGAAGCATGGGCGGATGGTTAGGGGACTGGCCGAGGCGGACGCCTTCCTGTACAAAAGCATTATATTTGAGCAGAGAGTGCCAATTGATGAACATCGGCCCCATCTATCTGCACCCGCTTTAAAATGTGATGGGCCGGAGAATCTCCAATTCAGTTAAAATGCTGCGTTACAAGGGTCTTTACCCATATTGCACTCCACACCTCGTGTCTGACCCTTTGAGGCTCAGTCGCAGGATTTGTCAATCTTGGGTCTGAGGATAATCCACTGCGGAGCCGTCACAGGAACATTTGGCTCTCGTGCATTTGGCCCCTACGTTTCTCGCACTTTTGGTCACATCGTGCAAAAACTTGGCCCCCTCCTGTCCCGCCCAAATTATAAAGGGAGACGGCAGGAACTCTCCACTATTGCCTCCATTCTGTCTTTTACATAACCCAAGA